CTATCAGAGAAGCCCTTTGCTCCAGAAATATGAACAACCTTGTTTGGTGCTTCCTAACAAGCTCTTCCAAATACCAAGAAATTCTCCATTGTTGGATTGAGAAGCTGACACTAACAACAGCAATACTTTTATAAAAATGTACCAAGACTTATTCTATTATTCCATCAGGATGTAGCTCCCATACAACACTGAAGCAGCCCAACCTACATACATGTCTAGCAGACGAGTGTCTGCCTTGTGCATAGCTTATCTACCCATCTACTCTCAAATAAAATAGGAGCTCCTAACCTCTGAATCCAAACCTCTGATCCAAGTCTAAACTATCATGAGCACATCAAAACTACATGGGTATTCTTAGTAAATTGAGATTTACTGTTTTTTTGAGATTTACTGTGTAACCAGATGACCAACATCAGATCTGAGTAGTTCACTACTTTAGAGCTTGTACCTGCCTTGCACAAGTCATGTGAGAGATAACAGGGTTTCATCAGCAAACATACATAACAATTTTATTACTAGACATAAATTAGCCTGTGTCTTCAAATACTGATGTATCTAAAGCATGCTCTAACATTGCCCAGCTGCAGATAATAGCCTGGGGGTTCAAAAATTAGATTCTGATTCCTGGGGTTCTGGGTGTTGTATGGAGATCTAAGTTTCAAACATAGAAATAAAATAAGCTGGGCAATTTACTGCAATTTTCTCACCCACAGGCTTAGGCTGTGCTTTTACTTGGCATGTGCAAAAGGGGAAAAGTGAGTATCTTTTTACTTGCCACATCTGGTTCTCGTGTATATCTCAAGTCATACGCCTACATTTTCTTTCTTTTCATTTCTTAAACGATGGGAGAATTAGTTTGCTTGGTTTTGAAGGTTTTATTGTTTTACATTTTATTCTCATTCACCAAAGAGCTAGTCCAGAATTACATTATGCCATGGAAGTAAATGAGTAGTCAGTAAGAATTGACTAGTGCTAGTTAACTATGGTTGAGGACTCTCTTATTTAAAAATAAATAATATTTATTTTTATTTATAATAAATAAGCTTTTCTTTCAGATTCTATTGCTACTAGTACAATATGCATTTATTTATGCATCAAAGTGACAGTTTCCTCTGATTTCACATACTACCATTAACAGATAAAGGAGCTTGTGTAGTGGCACTGGGAGTTTCACAGTGTACCACAATACTGAAAATTTACTTTAAGGCTTGCTATCTATCTTAAATCATATTAAGATTCATATCCAGATGCCCACTAACAAGCAGGTCATAGTACAAAAATAATAGCAGCCCAGGACTTGATTTCAAGATAATAAGTTTGTCCACATGTAACAGTGGAAGCAGGCAAGATTTTTAGTAACAATATTGATGGGTGAAAAGGAGAAGAGAAAAAAAAGAAAAGGAAAATAATCAAGACAAAAGCAGCCCAAGCCATAGCTAGAG